GCCCCTCCCCTCCCCAAAAAAGAATGTATTTCCTAAAACTATTTTTAAAAAATGAGTTTCCTAGGCCTCTTCAGTGTTTCTTGACTTCACCAACTGTAGTAGTTAGCTTTCTTTTCAGAACATTTTAAACAATGAAATAGCTTGTAATCATTCCAGAAGTATCTGTACAGCACTCACGAGTGCTGACTGAACAACTGGCTAGACTTATTCACTTGCTCTGCAGCAGTGTTTGTGGTTCTCATTAATAGCTTGATATAATCACACGTTTACAAATAGTCATAAAGGAAAGCATAATCAATCATACAGGATCTTACAGCCAACAGAGACAGTTAGAATTGGTGTTCAGCTAGTGTTGACTGTCATTAAGTAGGACTAGGAATTGTTGGGGGAATTGAGAATAACATTCTGTGTGGCTTCAGTTTTCATCTGTAAATTATGAGTCAAGCCTATTTGATAAGAATGAGAGGGGAAAGAGGAAGGTAAAAAGAAATGAAAAAAAACTTATTTATGTGGGATACAAGAAATATGTAACTATGTAGAAATAAAGGGCTTGTGAGCTGAATTGAAGACCCAACACAGTGGGAAGCTATAAGTTAATTGAGGGTTTTCATCACCAGGTGTATCCTTAAAATGATCAACTTTAAGATTCAATCTGGATAAGGAAGACATGAATAGGAGAAAGAAGTGAAATGTCTAACAAGAGGGAGTCCAGGGACAAGAAGTCTCAGGGAATTCTGGAAGAGACAGGCAGCAAGGTAGAGCTTAGAAAGAGCACAAATGGGCAAACCATCATTTCCCAGCATATTATAGGATTGAAGCATTTTGTCCATCTCCATCAGTACATGATTGCCTTTTTAAAAATGGAAAAGAAAATGTACTTTTTAAACATTGAAACATTTTAAATTAATTGTCAGTTGCTGTTCAACTTGCGGATATACATATATTAGTTAATGTTGACCCGAAATTATTTTATATTGAAACAGGGATGATTGTGATAAATATGTTTTTCGTATGCAAAAAACCCATAAAAGTAAAGGTGGCATTGTTTGGGGCAATATCAAGAAAAAAACAGTAAGTATTTTTATTCTTCACTCATTTATTCAACACATTATCTACTGAACAACTATAATATATGGCAATTTGTTGTAGTTACAAGTTATGTAACAGGCCCTGCCTTCAAGTTGCTTACAGTCTAATACAAGTAATTATGATAGGAGGCCATAAGTGAGGTGAGTACATAAGTGCTGTAGGATTATGGATGGCAACTCAGAAAAAAACACTTGAACAAGGTGAGAATTTTCATTTAAGGAGTTGGGCAGGGTGGGAAAAACATATAGTTTAGGGAAGGACATTTCAGGAAAGACACAACAGCATAATATAGATTCAGTGATTGAGGAATGATCCAGACTAAGTGAGTCATGATTCTCATAGAATAATAAATTTCATTAAATTCTATGCAGCTTCACAATGGTTTCAAATGTTTTTCAGATTCAGCTACTTATTATGTGTGTGTATACATACACACACATATATATAAGATTTATATATAAATCTTTTTAATTTAAAAAGGTTTAAAAACTAATTACAGAAAAAAATTTAACTCAGAGTTGAACCAAAGTGGCCTTAGAGTGATCTATATCCTCTTAAATTCATTTTTAAATTTTTAATTTCTGATTTTAATTTGAGTAACTTATATCCAGATAAAAGTACAAGTACTCTGGAAAAGCTAACTCATCCGAAATTTCCTCAAAGTGCATAGCTAATCTTACAGAATAATTTATGGGGGTAAAATGGGAGACTGCCTTATTCCCTGAGGGTGTATTCCTTCTTGACCAGGTTATGGCCATCTCTTCTCCCTCACCCATGTTGAAGTATTTGTAGTGCACACTTGCTAGAGTAGGTTCCTCTCAGTCTCTAAACTAAACATTAGGATTAACTAATCACATCCAATCTTTGTAGTCTTTACTTGTCCACAGGAAGTGGTAGATACCTCCAAGGTGTTGGTTTAAAGTCAGCCTGGAGACTAAATTCTTCAAAAGAAATCTACTCCGAACTTAAGATGTAGGCAGACTCCCTCTCAGCATTTCTCAGATTCCCTTTTTCCAGTTCCACATTCCTTACAAGAATGAAATTTGGGTTTCATTTGTAGCCAGTGTGTGAGGATAGAAAGAGCAGAGCTTTTAGTATTAAAAGTTCTGATTTCAAGGTCTGCCTCCATACCAGCTTTTATGACAAGGCAAGCTACTTGAGCTTTCTAATCTCATTTTATTCATATGTGGTATGAAGTGGAGATCATAATGATACTGGTTTATCTCACTGAATGATTTCTGAGGGCTAAATGATGTAATAGTGTTTTGACTCATTTCACAGAAAACATTTACATGACAATCTCTCAAAATGAGTTTGTACCTGAGAAGTTTCTTTCAACAATACTTATCCTTAGTATTGTGAGTATACTTTGTCATATTTTCTTTTCTGTTCTATTCCTTTTCATTTTTTAAAGATAGCCAGCCACGGCCAATAGTTTAAAACACACTGATGTATATAAACACTCATTATATACTTAAAATTCGCCATATAAATTACTATTTTAGCCAAGAATTTATAGTATAGAGAATTCAAAATTTGCGAGTGTAATGGAATGGAGTAAGTACTCTAAATTTTGGCAACTTTCAGAGGCTATCCTTTAACCACTGCTGCATTAGTTTGCAATGTTTTCTTGCGATAAAGCATGCTGAGTTTTGTCTAGGTTTGAGGCATACTTCACAGGAGGCATCACTTAGCTCTTAATATGAACTCTCTTGTAGGTTGAAACTGAGTTTTCAACTCCAACAGCAAGAAGAAAAGCGCCACTTAACAAAGGTAATGTGCTTATGTCTTTCTTTTGTAGTTCTGTCCTAGTATAGGGTAATCTCTTTATTAACATGGTATTAAAATTAATTGCTCTCAAGTGGGCAGAACTACCAACTGGTTTCCTATTACTTTCAATTTCATTGAAATTGCTTTTAGAAATTTATTAATCTTTTTTAACTTGAACTTCTCTTTACAGAATTAGTAGAAAATTCTGGTATTGGAAAACTTTTCACCAATGCTATGGAGTCTTTAGATGAAGAAGAAAAAGATGATTATTTTTCAAACTCTGATTCTGCATGGTAAAAATGAAAGACTATTTCCAGGATGCTTATCAAGAAGCAGACAGGGTATCTTTTTTTGAAGTGTATATATTTTCTTTATAATGTAGCTTCATTTGAAACTGCAGACACCTTTTTAAAGATTGCATGTGGTATATACATAGATGTCTGTCATAGCATCTCATTCTCTTTACTTTAAGAAAATCATGTTCCATACAGATTTTTAAAAAGCATACCAAAAAATGTTGCTATGCTTAGGGGGGAAGGTGGGAGAGTATAAAAAATAGATTGTACTGGTAGCTACTGAGTTCATGAAAACTTTAGGTTAGGACTTGTCACCACTTGTTATACAAACCAGAGTTGATCTCATATTTAAATTACATGCTGTTTAAATCATTTGATATGCTTTCTCCTGATTGTTTTTCTTAAAACTTGCGATTGGTACATCTGTGAAACCTATGTAAGTTTAATTTATTGCTTTTTCAATAGTTTTATTAGGTAGAATAAAAGAACAGATTTTATTGCATTCTTAAGGAGACATAGCTTAAATTTGGTCTCAATATTAAAAAGACTGGATTAGACAAACATTCAAGTTACAGGCCTACTATTGTAAAGAGTCAAGTTAATATGTCATGTCTTAGTAAACACTTTTTCTTTCAGATAGCTTCTTTAGAAATAAACTTCTTTTAGCTTATTCTGCCATTATGTTTTAAAATTTGACGTAGAACTTTTTCCTTCTGGGTACAGTACATATTCACCTACCCTCTCTCTCCAGTCAGGTTGTTAAAATAAAGTAACTTTGCTTTCATAATATTTGTGTTTTGGTTGGTTTTTCTAATTACTGGATCATTGAAAAATTTTGTTTATTAATGGATCAGTTCATTTCCTTGAAAAATACCAGAACTTTCAGAAAAACTATGTTTTGTTTCTTAAGAATTTAGTGGGTAGTAATCAGCAATCAGTTAACTGTAGAAATTTATAGAAATGCAAGGTTTAAAAAGAATAGCACTGCCACAGAGGTTTTTCATAGATGAAGGATGAAACAAATGAAAGGGTTAAAAAATTCTGTTGCAGAACTTTCAGTTGCCAATCTTTGGTGTAACAGCATGCTGCTTGATGTTAATGATAGTGTTTTAGGAATTAGAAGGTAGTTAAATTCTGTAACAGAAAGCAAAAAGATAATTTTGAAATAGCATACACTTGACAAAAACCAAAATGTGACCACCACTCCCCATATTCCCTGTGTCCTTTCAAAACTCCTTCAGTATTGTTCCTCATCTAGTCTATTATATCCCACCTGCCAGGTACCTGGTTAGTTCCATTTCTTTCCATTGGGTACTAAGAAAAGCTAGTAAGGTTTAAAGTAACCTCCAAAGGAGATGCAAAAGTGGAAAAGAAAGACTTTAAGGGTTCAAACAGTAAGATGGATTGATAAACAATAGGGTTGATAGTTAAGTGCAACAGTGAGTGTATAGAAGGAGTCTACTGCAGCTTAAATATGGATCGAGGTCTCTACACAACAAGCATAAATGAAATCCTTCTAGGTTATGTTCTTTATACCGTGTCAACTTACAAAATACTTTGTTGGGTGGAGACACACAACCTGAGGTTGTTGGTATCCACATGAGAGGGGCTGCAAGGTTACTGGTCCAGGGCAGCGTGAGAATGTGGAGAGACCGCATGCTTCTCGTGTGCAGCTGGGGCACAGAGCACCACCATTGTGCCTACCCAGCACACCACCGACACCATGGAACAGGAGCAAGCAGCAGCAAAATGCGGCATACTAGAACCAGAAGGAAGCCCCTTTCCTCCTCCTGATAAAGCTTAAATCATGCTCTCTAGGGAGAAATGCTCAAAAAGTCCAGTCCATTATAGCAGAGCAAGACACTAACGGATGAATCTGAATGTGAGAGATAAACTGATAACTGCACATTAGCCAATAATTTATGGGACTTCTTTTCTCCTGGCTTTGACAGAATTATTAAGTAGCAGAAATGAGAGATGAAAACTCTCCACCTCCTGGGTTTTCATTCTAGATTTCCCAGTCTAATCTTGAATAGGTCACTTGTTTCTGGGCCTCACTTTTATCATCTGATAAGAAAGGAAAGAGAAAAGCAATTTGAATTAGATTAGCTCTGAAGTCCTTGCCAAGTCTAAGGTAAGTGAGACACTCTGCTGTGAGGCTGGTTCAACTACCCAACAATGTACACAACCAAAGATAAACATTAGGTAACCAGAGAATAAAGGACTCTAAATGGGGAAAAAAAAATATATATATATATATATCCATAATTAAAGGTTGCTTTAGCACTAGACTGACTAGAAGGGACTGAGATATTGCATATAAAAATATGGAGCCATCTTAAAATATTAATAGCATCTCAGATGCAGTGTAATGGACCACAATGAAAGTCCACATTTAATAGCTCATCTATACTGAAAACTTCCAACTCCAATATACCACTTCTTTGAAAATGGTATTTTAACAACAACAAAAAGTAGTTGTAGATTGGAGTTCATACTAACAGGATTTTACTGTACTTAATTGGGACACTTTTGGTATGATAAACATATTCAGTTAAATTATCTACTTTCCTAGTTACTGGGGCCTTTACCTTAGAATAAACCTACCACCTATACCTATTCAATATGTATGTAAACTCAGGACATTTAAAATATGCTAGATTATACAGCTTATATATTTGTTTATGACCATTAAGTTGGCAGCAGACACATCAATCTATAATGCTAACAAATGACAACAACACTAAAATCTTTGGGAAAATTCTAAAAATACATCTTTAGCTTTTACTTTCTTAATAGTACCTTCAATAAAAAAAGTTTCATAATCTAATCAAAGTGGTCATTAAACATCAGATACTTTCTAAATAATTTATATAATCTATATAAATAAAAACATACACAGTATAAAATAAGTTATGGAAATAATCTTATTTACATATTTTAAGCTGATAATCACAAACCACAGCAATGATTACTGAAGTGCATTTAGTACTGTGAGAGTTCTTTGATAACCCACCCTGAGCAGTCTCCTCATGCATCAGATTTAAATCTACCTTGGTTAAGATCATTTGGTAACATTTGCATATCAAATATATAGTGAATATATCTATAGATCTCCTCAGCCTTTTGATGAGTTACTTGTGCACACATGGAGATTTCCTGAGGTGAGCTGAAAAATGAACAAAAACATTACACTAAAACTTCTGACTTAATAAAATTTAATATTCTTATCCTACTTAATTTAAAGATCACCAAAAATAAAATCCTTTAAGAAAATCATCTCCCAAGTTTTCCTCATCCGGTTAATGTCTTCAGCATTAGTTTAAATAAAACAAAAGCATATTCCCCACATTTAAAACCATATATAACAATAATTTCAACATCTTATTGGGCCTTCAGTTTAACATGTTTTCTAAAATGTTCCTTTGATTTTCAAGCAATATAATCATCAAAACTTAGTATAATTTTCAACTTGAACATTTTTCTAGTTATAGAACTAAAGAGCCCAGAAATGTTAGAATGAAGGTCAAATATAAATGCTATCTGATGTCTACCTCTCTTTAGGGCTCTAAGGTCCTCAAAGACAATGCCTATCTTTTTATTTTTTTCCCCCTCCGTCAGTGTCCTCAGCTTAATGCAGTGACTGATACATGTTGGCAAGCAAAGTCTTTACCAAATAAAATAACCTAACAGACAGTATACCTCTTTTTTTAAAAATATTAAAATTTATATGAAATCCTTCTAAGTGATTTTAAATTAACTATTTAAAAATATTAAAATAGACATACCTGTTTGTCATCTTTTTCACGGATGAAAACTGGTGACATATATTTAGTGCAGTTATGTAACTTATATTAGGAATACTTAAATAAAACTGAAGTGCCTCACATTTATTACTGTTCACCACTGTTGGGACATGAATACCAACATTCTTTCTTTGTTCCACTAAAGACAGTTCCTTTAGCAAATCGGCTGTTTCTTCTTGGCAGGAACTGAAAAGGATTCGGATTCCGGCACCAATTAAGGTAGTCAGCAGGCTGTCATAGCTCTTTGTTCTCCTAAACATCCTGGATGTGTCTCCTAAATATTTAATATTTAGGAAAATGCAAATCTTAGTAACTTACATTAAGTAAAACCATTAATAATATACATTATTAAAATCCCAAGATCTACATACACCATTAAGCAAACTAGTGCCACACAATGCTTAAGAGAAACCCTACTGCTAAAGATCTAAACTGATTCTCAAATAGCTGAGAGAAAACAGGGAGAACTGCCTTTATGAGTGTCTTAAAGTGGAACCAACAGAGGAAGGTGAGTAGGCAGGGGAAATTTTATATCCCCAGATTATGCATTCCTGAAGGCCAAGACCATATTACTCATCTCTAAAATTTATAATGCTAACATTGTTGAAGGGTTCATTCAGTATTACTTCTGATATAAAATTATCTTGTGTGTTTATTCCAAGAGTAATTCAGTACACTGCACAGCCATTATAATATCAACTCTTGCCTATTAATTTACTTTCCTACATTTCCTGTTCATTTTCTTTCCATATTCTAACTACATCCTTTTTTAACTACATTCTTAAGTCAAAAAAAAAGATACTTTTCCATAACTTTTGCCACATTTCTTTTTATTTCAAATCTATTTCCTTTATAAAGGATATGCTACTAAAGAGTAAATTATAGAATTTTAGTACGAGAAAGATCCAAGAGATCACCTAATCTAAAGCCCTTGCTTGTCAAATTAAAAAAGAAGAAAACAAAAATATTGGGGTACTGAAAGGTAGAGTGACCTATGCAAGGTCACGTCACATGGTTCACTAGTGACAGTGCGCGGGTGAAAAGGTTTGCCGCTCAGTTCCCAAACCAATGTTTCACGTAAACTACATTATTTTCTTCTACATAACGACTGTATAATCCTGGAATTCTTCCCTAGTGGCATTTACCTGCATGATTTCACTCAATCTTCATAACACCACAGGATGAGTAGGACAACTATTAACTCCTCAGAGGGAGTGATTTGTCAATGCAAGGTCACACAGCTATAGAGACACCGGAACTTAGTGCATCTTCTGATTCCATATCCCATGATTTTTTTACTAGTCTGCGGGGCTCCCTGTACAGTCAGAGTGCCCACAAAGATTCCCTAACAGAAGCTCCAAGCCTGCATTTCATCATCCTCGGCACCCATTTCAATGACCCCCTGAGAACTCAATCTTAACGTATTCAAAACTGAACATTTTTTGTCCCTCAAATCTTCTGCTTCTCTTATATTCATGATTTCAGTAAAAAAAACACTGCTACCTAACTAACTGGTCAGTGATCAAGAAATTGGTCAGCTCAAGAGTAATTCCCGACCCCTCCCACCAATTTCCTCTAAGCCTGCCTCCTAAACTTCACGAATCCTCCTTTCCCCCACTGCTGCCTTATTTAGGGCCCTCATCCTTTCTGGGGCTCCTGAAAAAAGACATATGATTGGTTCACTTGCCTTCAAGTTCCCACCCTTCAATTCTCATAAGCTGCATTTAAACATGATGACTAATGAAAAACATGGCATTATATAAGTATGAAATGACATTTAAGAGCTTCCCACATCCTGACAGTAGAAGAATGAAGTAAATGGTCAAGTGCCTTTACAATTTATAAATGCAAACATTTTAAAATACAAACCTGTTTTTTCTCTGTCTTTTTCCACAATCACACATATTCTTTCAAACATGCTCTGTAGGTGCTGGATCTGGTCAATGAGCTTGTTCTTATTGATACTATTTAACATCTCAGATTGAGACCTCCTTTCCACCGCCATGCGGTTACTCACAATGTAATCACAACCATTAAGAGGACAAATCTCTACTTGTAAGCCATGAATCGCTCTTAGGGAAGAAATCACTTCTGAACCACAAGTGATTTCACGACTATCCACAAGAATACAAGTTCTCTGGCCTTCCTGTGGAAGTCTCAGAGAAGCATGTGTGCCAGCCAAATGTGGTCTTGAGTTGGAACAATACGCCATTGAAGTGCCAGAATCCTCCAGAGCACAAGCATTCTAAAAAGTAGAAAACATCGATCGCGATCAGTTAAATATACGTTAGCACCATAAACTTCTAACACCTAAGCTGATTTTTCTTACTGAAACTTTTTCCATCCTTCAGCATGACCAAAGTGACTATGTAGATGAAGGGTCAAGCCACCGCTTAATACCTAGTAGGATAGTTATAACTTTTTTAAAAGGATATGTGTTGATGGGAATGTGAAAAAAATGGAATGTACATTGCTGGTGGGAGTGAAAAATGGTGCAGCCACTGTGGAAAAGTTTGGTGATGCCTCAGAAAGTTAAAGAATTACCATATTGCCTAGGATTACTTAAGGGATTACTTCGGCAATAGCAAGATAGGAGCTAGAAACTAGGCTACTTGGCCATCCTAGAAGGAAAGAAATTCAAAGGAAGGAAATCAGGTGGTACCTCTAAACTCCTCTCCCCAATTGTAGATGAGAATTACACACCTGAAGCCTTCATGGGGGAAAAGAAAAGTTAACCTGGGGGAACTAATTCTGAGCATGTAGTTTCTGTTAATTTTACCTTGCAAGAAGCTCAGTTTCCTATTCCCTTTTAATAAAACTAACAAGTTCCCTTACAGAATGTTACTAAGCAAACTATTAACACATTTAAAAAATTAAAACCAAAGCATCTCATGAATTATTCATATAGTTTAGTGTGCTGGCTTCTTGTTTTGAAGAATTTTATCACTTGCTAATTTTTCCTTGACATAGTTATTTAACACAAAAGAAAGCAAAGCCAAAAAATAACTTTTTGGTAAACATATGAAGGCTTTTTTTCCTCAAATTTGATCCATACCTTCAACTGAATTGGAAATTCTCTACAGTCTTTCTGTGAATCAACAGTAGTGAAGGATGGTGAGGTAGATTCAATTTTACTACAGCTCTGAGGTTTAAAGTCTGAGACATCAGAAACTGTAGCCTTTAAATTAAGTGGTGTCTGTTGTCTCTGCTTTGGTGATCGATTAACAGTTAGAGTAGAGTAGTCCTTGGACTGCAACGAAGACCCAGAAGGCACTAAATTCCAACAGTGGTCTTTTTGTTCACTCTTGTTCACAGTGCTTGGGTTAACCACAGTATTGGATTCTCGTTTATCATTTACATTGTCTTCATCCTCACTTGAATCATCTGGTAAAATAATTCTGAATAATTTCTTTCTTAAGTGTGCACAATTTTCTCTCATCTTCATTTGTTTTAGCTTTACTGCACGTCGGGTTTTATATTTTTTACTCCCACTTGCAAAGCTATCTTCAGTTATCATGTTAAAATCAACACAGACTTCTTCACTTGATTGGCTTTTGCAAGACTCCTCTTCATCAACACAAAAACTGTCTTCTAAATAAGTTTCATCCTGCTCAGGAATCTATAATTAAAATACAATAAAAATATAAATTTCTTTCACAAAGTCAGCATGTATTTAACATATTCTTTTAAGCACATGACATCTTTTTGAATATTTCACATCATTAATTCAGTCAATTGCTCAGTTAACATATTTTGAGCATCTTCTTTTCTTTGAGTTTTAGTTGAGATATAATTGACATAAAATGAGATATGAGTTTGTTTTTGAAGTATAACTGACCTACAACACTGTGTTAGTTCCTGTTACACAACATACATTTCAAAATGATCACCATGTAAGTCTACTTACACTCTGTCACCATAAGAAGATAGTACATAGTTATTAACTATATTCCTTCCCCACATTATGCATTTCATACTCATGACTCATTTATTTTACAACTGGAAATTTGTACCTTTTAATCTCCTTCACCTATTTCTCTCCTCCTGGCCACTCCCCTCTGGCAACCACCGGTTTGTTCTCTGTATCTATAACTGTTTCTTCTTAATGTTTGTTCTTTTTTGTTGTTTTTCAGATTCCACATATATGTGAAATCATATAGTATTACTTTTTCTCTGTCTGACTTATTTCACTTAGCCCAATACCCTCTAGGTCCATCCATGTTGTCACAAATGGCAAGATTTCATTCTTATTTATGGCTGAGAGATATTTCATTTTATATACATACCACATCTTCTTCCTGAGTATATTCTTTACAGAAGAAAATGGGAAGTTTGGGAATTAAAAAAAGAATGATTTACCCTGTGGAAATCTACACTCTAGTGCAAGTAGCCAGAAAAATAAACAGTAATTTATAAACAATGTGATAAGTGCTTTATAATAAACACAATGAAAGTATAGAGATATGAATGACTGTATTTCCAAGCTGAAAACAGAAATTTATGAATAGGACTAATATGAAAATGCTATCCATAAATGAAAATAATCTATAATTTTTAGGATGTACCATTTCATGAAAAAAATTTATTTTCATGAGAAATATGACAACATAGAAGAATTAAATTTTTAACTAATAGATGATAATGTTCTATTTACTTCCTTTAAACATTCTCCTAATTGGAAAACAATTTAAAAGTATATGCTAATTAGCTCAAATTAAAGAAAGGATCCTTTGATCAAATTAAGACCAAAAGGGATTTTGAGAATTCATTTAGTCCATCTTCCTTACTCAGGGCAGAAATTACTGCAAATAGTTCTGATGGTCCAGTTTTATAAACAAAATGAAGGCTTCATTAACAGGAATAAATCTCAGTATCACCACCAGGAAATTCTCCATAATATTTCTATAGTTCATACCTGTGAGAAAACGTTCACATTGTTATGTTTCTTATGGAACATTCTGTACTGATTGCTCATCAGTGGACTTCTCAAAGATTTCATGTAAACTGCTCTCATTTCAGCATCTGTGTAAAGATAATAAGAATTTCAAATATCAAAATTATTTAAATGAAAATCAGCAAGTAATTAACTTTGACCAATCCCAAATTCACATGATTCAAAATTTGTGGAATTATTTAACCCAAAAGATATTTAATATATACTGAAACATGTCTAAAACCAATTATTCAAAAATACAAAGTTAGGAGTTTTGCCTTTGATAGACCATCTAATTGGGTGATCATGGACAATTTATGTAAGTTCTCTGCGTTAGCTATTTCCCTCCTCTGAAAATGAAGATAGGATAGTGCCTTTTCATTAAAAGTAAATGTATACAAAGACCTTAGGACTATATCTGACTTACAGAAAGTATTCAATAAAACAAGAAACCCAGGCAAGATAAGAAAGCATACATTTTAAATTATCAAAAGCCACAGCCAATAGTAAGTATTTTTCATAATTTTCAGTCAAGAAAAAACTGGGAAACACAGGTTTTTATTTATGCTTATCTTTTTTTAAGGTTATAATCAGAAAGCAAGTTTATTTTTGTCTTTTATTTCCCCTTACATACTTCTGAAGTGATTTTATTAAATAACAGGTTATTTTGAGGGATAACACTGCTAATTTAATGATGACAGTGCTTGGGAAAAGATGGGTAAATTTTTCTTGTAAATCTATTTCCCTTTTCTCCATTCCATAGCTAGCTTCAACTACTAGATAGTCTCCTCACCTAACGACCCACTTTTTAAATCCCTTCAAAATTTAGTGGAATTTTCACTTCCCGCTTACAGTTTAAAAAGACTCAGAATCAAGGAGTTTTCAGAGATTTTTTTCATTTGTTTTGTAGATTTTTGGGGGGGGTAAAAATAGTAAAATTCATCCTCTTTAGGGTACAGTTCTGAGTCTCAACAAATGCATAGTTCTGGCAACCACTATCTACTTGCTATTCCTATGGTTTTAACTTTTCCGAGATACCATATAAATCAAAGTATACGTATGTAACATTTGGAATCTGGCTTTTTTCAGTAACCATAATTCATGTGAGATTCATAGGCCTATAATTTGTTTAAGAAATGACACATTAAAAAAAAGAATGTAGATTTTGAGATTTTCCTTTAAAAGAAAAAACTTTGAAATCCTACATATTTCAAATGTATTATATCTAAAATGGAGTCGTAGACCTCCCTGCTCTCCATCCCAATTGCTCTATCTGCTACCTTCCCAACAGTGGCAACTAAGTCCTTCCTTTGCTCAAGCCCCTTGACTCCCTCTTTTTCTCTCTAGTCCATCAGAAAATCCTGTCAGCTGTGCACAGCCAGAATCCAGTCTTTCTCACCCTCTCACTACCTCCACCTCCTTCCTTGATTCGATCACTGCCATAGCCTCCTGAATGGTCTCCTCTTCCACCTTTGCCCCCAGCTAGGCCATTCTCAACACAGAAGCTAGAGCGATACTTCTAAAATAACATGAGCTGGCAGCTCAGTAATTACCCCTCTGATCTTACTTCCTACTACTCCCCTTCTCCTTATTCAATTCCAGTCATAGTGCTATTCCCTTGAACACAACAGGCACACTCTGGCTTCAGGGTCTTTATACTGATTGTCATCTTTGCATCAACATTCTCCCACCAGATTACACCATAAACCTGCCAAAGCCACTTCTGTTAAAGAACTTCAAGGACATAATACTAAGAAACCTTATTCTGCAAATTATGTCAGTATCAACAACACAGTATTGAGAACTTAATATTTAAAACCTTTTTTCTTCCAAAGTCACCGACCTTGGGAAACTTCACTGTTTGAAATCCCATCAGGCACTACAGGAGCAGAATAATGGCAAGATTTGTGAAAGATCAAAATACAGAAGAGCCCACCACTTTCCTACTTCTATTACAGCCAATCTGAATCATCTGCTCTTCATATACTGTATAGAACACCTGCTCAAACATTGTTTGGAGAGACTGTTTTGTAAAATTTAATCAACTTAGCTTTGTGTCTCAGCTGGTTTTATTAACAAACTGCACTGCTGAATTCCTCATCTCCTTCTAGTCTTTGTCACTTTCTCAATGAGGCCTACACCTAATTACCTTATTTAAAATCACAGCTTGTCCTATTGTTAATACCCCAACCCCTGCCACTCCAAATCTTCATCTTACTCCATTTTTTTTTGTTTCTCTGTAAATTTTTCATCCTATACTAAATAAGTTAGTTATTATGTATATTCTTTGTCTTCTTCCACTCAAATGTATGCTCTGTAAGGGCAGAGATTTTTGTCCATTTTGTTGACAGATGCAGCTTTCTCAAGAACCTTCCATAGTATCAGGCAGATAGTAGGCACTAAATATTTGTTAAATGAACATCTGACACAGCCAGCCAGGTTATTCTGGAGAGAAATAATCAAATTAACAGAAGCCTACAAATAACCAACTCTCACATAAAGTAAATATTACAAATTTGAAGGACAATGACCTAATATTTCACACATGTCAAAGTTAATTCCCTTTAAAATCAGGATTCTTTCGAAAATGACTCAAATATTTAAATACAACCACATTAAGCAGGGAGAGTATAACTCAGTAGTAGAGTGCATGCTCAGAATGCACAAGGTCCTGGGTTCAATCCCCAGTACCTCCCTTTAAAAAAAGATGTATAAATAAACCAAATTACTCCCTACAAAATAATAAATAAATAAAATAAATAAATGCACTGAAAATTAAAAGAAAAAGAAGCATCATTATATCATTTACCATTTATAGCCTGTGAAAGTTGAGTCTCATCATTTAAAAAGTCAAGTAATGAGGAATCTTGTTCATTTTCTGACTCATCATTTTCATCTGATGAAACACATTCTGCATCTTCTTGGGAAAGTTCTGCTTCATCATCTAAAAACTTCCTAGCTACAAGCTAAGAGAAATTAGAAAACAGAAAAACACCCTTAAGAAAATCATTTAATTTCCTTAAATAACTGAAACACTTTTGGAAAATAAATTTCTTGCCAATGCCTTTAAGATCAAAAATAATAAATACAGAAAACTACTAGAAGAAATGATAAAGTATACACCTATTTAAAATTTTTTCTGAAGGAGGGGAGGGTATAGCTCAGTGGTAGAGTGCGTGCCTAGCATGCACAAGGTCCTGGGTTCCATCCCCAGTACCTCCATTAAAAATAAATAAAAACTTAATTACCTCCCACCCTGAAATAGATAGATAGACAGACAGACAGATAGACAGAAAGAAAGAGAAAAAGGCAGCTAACTAAAAAAATAAAATAAAATTTCTTATGATAATTCTGCTATAAATAAAGTACAAGTCAGCATATCAGCTTGCTGAATGTTAATTAATAAGCCTCCTGAGTCTTCCAGCTAATTAATTTTTGCCAGGAAAAATACTGCACCACAAAAGAACTAATCAGAAAAAAAGGTGCTGAGAATTCTTTTCCAAGAATTTGAATGTAGAATAGAGATAAGAAAAGCAATATAATTATTGTAAAAGCAAATATAATTCTAAAACTCAGATCTCCCTCTCTCTATTTTCTTCAATTTGAACATTATATTCTCTAATATACTATACACTAAAGTTTCTTAATTTAGTCATTCAAAACAATACAACATTGCAAGATAATTTTGAAACACAAAGAGAAACAAAAATACCACACTTTAAGATTTTAATTCCAGTAAAAAAAGTAAAATTGGGGTCAAAATACTTTTTAACTTTGGTGTTTTTTTCCTATAAGGAAATTACTGAGCAAAATCTACATTTTTGTAAAATCCAATGTTCTTTACTAATAAAAAAATATATATAGTATATTTATATAAACATAAAAAACTGAAAAGCTTACCTTTAGGTGACTCTGTCTCTTGCGGACTCTGATGCCTCTTTTGTCCTTCCTGTTAAGATCCTTGAAGTCTTCTGATTGCAGACCTCGTCTGTGAAAATTCTCACTCTCATCACTAGATGAGAAATCTAACTGTAATTCAATAAAAATTCTTGCATAAGAAAATATAATTGGATTGTTGTGTCTTAATGTATTTTTCAAGGGTTACTGCTTTTATTTTCATTTTTTCTTTTTAAATAGTTGACCTAACACTTTCTTGATAGAAAAATAAAATGCTCTTACAACTCAGAGCCATGTTACAAATACGTAATACTTAAGAATTTAAAAGAGAATACTAAGTATTTTCTAAAATACTGAATTAGGTAATATAAGTAATACTATTATAGTATTCATTAAGTTTTGTATGCATTTGATAAAAACTTATATTGTCCGTTTAACTGTTTCCTTTAGAAGATTCTGAAGGGCTTCACACACACAAAAAAATTAAGTCCATAAACATAGCTATCAAAATCAGTCCAAACATACAAGAGTCCTTTCACATTAAGAAACTAATACAACAACAAATTTTGACTACAAGGCCCACTACTACATCTCTTACAAAATAATATGAAACCAATCAAAAGAAGTTTATCAAAACAATTTCAATTAACAGGAATAATTTTAAAGAATGATTATCAACATTATAAATATTTTCATTCACTTCTAGAAAGCCAGTCAGACATTCTAGTTCAAGGAGCAAGTTAAAACAATATTTCTAATGAAGTTTTATATGAGTACACAAAGTTAATATGGACTGATTGCATTTTTATTAATTTTGCACAAATTATACTAGCTTGTATTAGAGAATTAAAACACGCAAGATTCCCTAATCTCAGAATTAGCTATCATCTATAAGCTGATGACAAATAAATACTATTATCCTTAAGACTGGCCCCCAACCCAGACTTCACATTCACACCATCATCAATGCTGGCCAGACACTGTCACTTTACTATCCCACAAGAACCTTAAACTCAAACATGTTCAACACTGAACTTATCATCTATTTCTTGTTTTCTCTAAAGATGTGAAGCATCTGCCAGCTAGCCCAAGGCAAAACCAGAAAGTCATCTTGGATTCCTTCTTTCAAACCCATTCAGGGAGCAAATGAAAGAATAAGGCCTTCCAAAACCTCACTCATATTTTTCTCCAATTTTACTTCCTGCTACTTTTTGCTTTTACAACCCAACAACAAAGAGATGCTGTTTCCACACTCTGTGTGATTCTTTAAGCTGCTGGGAATTCCTTCCTTCTCTCTTCTCTTCCTTAACCACTACATATGGTTTAAGATTTAAGTAAAGTATCATCTCCAAGAAGCTTGCCAGAACTACCAAGGTCTAGGTTAAGGGCTTTTCTTATCACTTACCTTTAAAAAGTTATATTGAAATTATCTGTTTACTTATCTATCTCTCCTGTTAGACTGTAGACTTAAAACAGGTCCAGGAAATAGTTTATAGTATCCCCAGTATCTTAGACAGTAGACACAGAGTAGGTGTTCAGTCAATGTTTGCTGAATTGCCGGAGTGTGCTGACAAAAGTGGGGCAGTTTTCAGAAGGAGTTTAAAATAGAAACTTCAGTTACATATGATTTACTATCTATTTTTCTGTTAACCGTATACCTGTAAGATCAACTACATCTTGTTCATCTATACATACATTTTTCTTGTAATATTTATTCTGAAAGAATTTGACTTAATATACATTATCTGTTATCTTACTCACTCTGTTTGGAGGAACCCTGTGCTTTTTGACAGCATGAAGTGGAGAATCAACTTCACTATTTTTTTGATCCTAGATAAAGTAGATAAATAAAGTAAGGGGTTAAAAAAATAGATTTAAGGGGAATAAAAAACTTTATGTGACCATCTCATTGTGATTTCTGAATGACTCACCTCAGGGGAATCCAAAACATTTCCTTTTGTTTTTTTAATTCTTCTTTGGAAAATTTCATCTTCACTTTCACTGCTTGTTAATTGTTCATCTATAATTTATTTAAAAAATAGTAAATCTGGTCAAGAGATTTAAGTTTATCCAACCACAACTATCTTGATGGGTACAGTAAGAATTATTTCTGGCAATCTCAACATTTATTTACTCTCAAGCAAGATAATTTTTCATAAAATTATCTGGGCCCAAAGGATAGAAAAATAAAAACCATGCCAGTGAAGAAATTAAAAGATAGTAACTCTTAAAAGCTTTTGCACAGCAAAGGAAACCATAAACAAAATGAAAAGATAACCTACGGACTGGGAGAAAATATTTCTAAATGATGTGACTGACAAGAGCATAACTTCCATAATATACAAACAGCCCATATAACTCAATAACAAAAAACAACCTAATCCAAAAATGAGCAGAGGACCTAAACAGTCATTTCTCTAATGAAGACATACATATGGCCAATAGGCACATGAAAATATGCTCAATATCACTAATTATCAGAGAAATGCAAATCAAAACTATAAAGAGGTATTACCTCACACCAGTCAGAATAGGCATCATTAAAAAGTCCACAAATGATACATGCTAGAGAGGGTGTGGAGAAAAGGGAATCCTGCAACACTCCTGGTGAGAATGTAATTTGGTGCAG